GCAATGCCTTGTAGCAGGGGTGTCAAACTCAAGGTCAGTGGGCTGGATCTGGCCTGCGCGGTGCTTAAATCTGGCCCACGGGATTGGCCTGGAAATAGCAAAAGACCAGCCCGCAGTGCCTCTGGCAGCCAACACGGAGTGCACCCGGGCCCTCGCGCACCCCATTTTGGCTGGCAGGGTATTGCAGGAAGAGTCTCTAGTCTCTCGCCCCCCCCACAGCCCACTGAGGATAACTCCAATGCTGATCTAGACCTCGAGGAAATCCAGTTTGTCACCCCTGCCCTATAGTGTTGCCTTGAGGGGAGAAATCAAAACAGATTCTGCCCAGGATGGGTGGGGGGTCTGAAGATATTTTCACAGCCCTCCTTCTGACCCATGGGATATACAGGTCCTCACTAAACAGTAGAGGCTGGTTGCGATTGTTGTTTCTGCAGTCCTATGCATCGACGTCTGTATCCGTCCTATTTGGTTGCGGGCCCAAACCAGACGGTTACAGATGTACAAAGGAGAAGTCCTCTCACAAATACTGGGCTGTGAGAATAATGGCGATCACAATGGCCACACACAAGCAACATAACACAGCCACTGTGACAATTTCGATGGAACTCCAGGGTCTCTGGCCCGCCCTTTGTCTGTCTGTTTTGTTGCTGGGCAGGAAGGCTTTGACGTCCTCATCCCGAACAGTGGTTATTTCGTACAGCCGGTTGGTGTAGTATCTGCCCCCATTTGCTGAAACTGTTTCCTCCACCATCTTCATCAGAACTGAGACCTGCCTCTTCCGCTCGTCTCCCTCGGCCCTGTTGTTGAACCCACAGACGCGGTTCCTGCGCTGCCGAATCACTTCCTGCAGATTCCTGTTTTTGGACTTTTGGATGTACTCCTGCAGCGGGGTCCCGCCCAAATCCTCCACGCAGGTAAATAGGACGTGTGTGTGCCTGGCGGACTCGGCCCCAAAGATATCCCGGACACACTTAGCGGCGGTCGCATCTTCGGCGGTGAAGCGCCCCACCTGGCTCACCAAAATCAGGGCATGGGGGCCAGGCCGGGAGAGCTCCACGCAAGCCATGATCTCCCGTCGTACAATCTCATCATAGTTTTCGGAATCAAAAAGGCCTGGCGTGTCGACTACGGAGATCGGCCTACCCTGCCAATCCCCCTGCCCTTTTTGGCAATGCAGGGTGGTGGTCTTTGCTGCCACAACGGACTTGAACTCCTTCCGACCGAGAATGGTGTTGCCCGTAGCGCTTTTCCCGCCTCCGGACTTTCCGACCAGAATCAGCAGGAGTTCGGAGACTTTATCTGAGAATTCGGAAGATGACATTACAAAAAGGAATTGAGACATTTATCATGTGCCCAGGAAGAAACAGGGGGCTGTATTACAACATGCTGGGGCATCATTGAGATGGCTGGAAATGGTGACGATTTTGGAAAAGAATCACCGCTGCTCTAACATGGTTCAATGATGTTTTTTGGGGACTCTACCAGAATTGCTAAATTGGGCTGCTCAGNCATGGCAGCTGAAGCAACAGCAAGGCAGAAGCTGACACAATGGTTCCGAGATCACATCTGCCAGTTCCTTCAGATCTCGGGGATTTATATTCCTTAAGATTTATATTAGTTAAAGCAGCAGGGATGTCAAACTCAAGGCCCGGGAGTTGGATCTGGCCCACAGGGTGCTTAGATCCGGCTCAGAGGGCCGCCCTGGAAATAGCGAAGGACCAGCACGCGATGCCTCTGCCAGTGAAAACGGAGTCCTTCCGAGCTCCATTTTCACTGGCAGAAGATTGCAGGAGGCCATCACAGCTGAAAATGGAGCTGGGGAGCCCGTTTCCACTGGATGAGCGCTCAGGGCACCACAGGGACCCCAACATGAGTGGCGTCCAGCTGGCCACGCCCACCCTGGCTCCATGAGATCGAACTCAAGCCTGATGTGGCCCTCAATGAAATCGAGTTTGACACCCCTGAGTTACGATGTTCTCTTATCATTTTCTCGCCTATTTTAATGTTTATTTCTAGTCTGTTTTTTAACAATCCTGTTTTTGACCTGTGGGGCTGTTTTTTCCCTTTGTGGAAAGGCGGTTGGAAAGGACGCATTAAGCCCTTCTGCTTTCTCCCTGCTGCTCGCAGCCTTCTTGCCGTTCTCTTCCCTGCGAGTGACGGGAGGCCTCTGACCACTTTGTCCCTTCTCTTCCTTTCAGTTCCAGACCTGAGGATCGTAATGGTCGGCAAAACAGGCAACGGGAAAAGTGCCACTGGGAACACCATTTTAGGGAGGGAAATGTTTACGTCCAAGATGGAGCCCACATCCGTCACCGCCAAATGTAAGAGTGCAACGAAGGTCCTGGCGGATGGGAGGACCCTGGCTGTGATCGACACGCCGGGCTTTTTTGATACAAAATACTCACAGGCGGTGACTCTGGCGGAAATTAAGAAATGTGTCAGGTTCTGCTCCCCAGGTCCCCACGTCATTATACAGGTCATCCGTATGGGCCCTTTTAGCAAGGAGGAGATGAAGGTCTCCGAGATCATCAATAGTATCTTCAGCCTGAAGGCCAAGGCCTACCTGATTGTCTTGTTCACCCGCAAATAAGACCTGGAGGGGCGCTCTCTTCAAGAGATGCTGTCCGAGGGAGGCGAAAGCCTGGAGCCTCTGAGGAAGTAAATCGAGAGCTGTGGGAATCGGTGCCTGGCTTTCAACAACAAGGCGAAAGGGAAAGAACGGCAGGATCAGGTGGATGAGCTGATTCGGATGGTGGATGGCCTCGTACGGAAGAACTCGGCGGAACCCTATTACACCAAAGAGATGCTGGAGGAGGACAAGAAGANACACTTAGCGAATGCCTCGCTTAACGGCAGAAGCGTTGAATTCAATTACGGTCGTAACGAAGTACTCGTATTTATGTTTGCAGAAAGTAAGTCCCAAGAGGAAGATTCCAGAAAACACCCCCAGCCTCCCCTTTCTTTTTTCCTTCGTTTTCGCTCCTGTGACTTCCCTTCCTGCCAGAAGAGGATTAGAGACGCTGAAGATCGGCGGAGGAGCACCTGGGCACCGGCAACATGGGTGCAGCTGAGTCAGGTAAATCTCGGTTAGAGGGGTGTGGGAGGTGCCATCTCCTTAAGCCTCTCTTGTGGGGTGTTGTCTATTCCCGTCACCTGAGTGTCCTCCGCACATTCGACGAGTTCCCTTCCATTCCCTCACCTGAGTCATTTCTGAAGATACTGGGCCAGAGTCCGGGGCCTAAGATGGAACCTGGTGGTACCCCGCGGCTTACTTCCCTCTGCTATATGTAGACGTAGTACCCATTAAGGACTACTCTTTGAGTACGGTTTGTCAGCCAGTTACAAATCCATCAGGGGGTAATACTATCTCTCCCACATTTTTTCTAGCTTACCAAGAAGCAGGTTCAGTTGCAGACCTGAGGATCGTCATGGTCGGCAAAACAGGCAACGGGAAAAGTGCCACCGGGAACACCATTTTAGGAAGGGAAGCGTTTACGTCCAAGATGGAGGCCACATCCGTCACCGACGAATGTAAGAGTGAAACGAAGGTCCTGGCGAATGGGAGAACCCTGACTGTGATCGACACGCCGGGCTTTTTTGATACAAAATACCCAGAGCCAGTGACACTGGCGGAAATTAAGAAATGTGTCAGCTTGTGCTCCCCAGGTCCCCACGTCATTATACAGGTCATCCGTATGGGCCATTTTAGCAAGGAGGAGATGAAGGTCTCTGAGATCATCAATAGTATCTTCAGCATGAAGGCCAAGGCCTACCTGGTCATCTTGTTTACCCGCAAAGAAGACCTGGAGGGGCGCCCTCTTCAAGAGGTGCTGTCCGAGGGAGGCAAAAGCCTGGAGCCTCTGAGGAAGCAAATCAAGAGTTGTGGGAATCGGTACCTGGCTTTCAACAACAAGGCGGAAGGGAAGGAACGGCAGGATCAGGTGGACGAGCTGATTCGGATGGTGGATGGCCTCAGGGGGAAGAATTGGCTGCAGCCCTATTACACCAAAGAGATGATGGAGGAGGACAAGAAGAAGGCGCCTGGATGGTTATGTACCCTCCTCTGATCCCGGAGTGTCTTCATCACCGATGGAGACCCCTGGGGGATGCCGTTCAAACACACCTGGGTCAGCGCAGACAGCCACGGCTTTCCTTGGCTGCTTCATCCCCCCCAAGGTATTTCTTCTTCTTCAATAAGCCAGTGGAAAACCTCAACTCCATTTTAATAGAGATAAAGTACT